TATTTTAAAACAGTATACACGTAGACTGGATTGTTGAACATCATGGCACTCTATTTCAGACAAGTGAAAAGAAACTCACTTAGGAAAGCACTAGAAAATAGCAAACAATAGTACAGAACACAGGCCCGTCAGCAAAGACTTTATGGGGACCTTCTGAAGGGTCCGTTCAATCTTCTTGATTCTAGAGGCAGATGGAGAAGTCTGAGTAGTGAAGAGTTTACATGAGTAAACCCAACTCAAAGGACAGCCAGTGAGTTATAATAGAACTGCATGGACAAAGTCACAGAGAATGACTTACCAATAGAATGTCTACAGATAAAGAAACAATCTTGGAATTGCTAATTGAATTTGAAAATGAAAAATGTGTTTTATCCTTGGTACTAAATCTAAAGTATAAATGTTTGAGTGTTTGCTAACCCAAGAATATGGGTTATCATTTCCTTGATAAAACAATCTCGCTTTTAATAAGAACAAAACCTTACAAGAGGAAAAAAGGCAAAGAAATTCAATGATAAATTGTGTGTGATTAGCAAGGTTTTAAAGGACCAAAATAAAAATGCTATGATATGGTCCTTCAGGCGTGCTCACTCACGGCAAGCTGTACTTTCCATCAGTGGAGGAGAGCACGCTGAGCAAAACTTCCTTCTGATTTAGAGTCGCACTGCTCTGACAGCCCAAGTTCCCCGACAGCATACAGGATGGCAATGGCCAAATAATAATTCATATTAACTCTTAACATCATAAATACTCATTAAGTATTAAGGTTTCTGTCTTAGTTACTGTTCTGTTGCTATGAGGAGAGTTCATGAGCCAAGTAATTTACAAAAGAAAGCTTTTAATTGGGGGCTTGCTTACAGTTTCAGAGGGCTAAACCAAGACCATCATGGCCCAGGGTGCTGAGGCAGGCAGGCAGTTGAGAGCTCACATCTGATTCGCAAGTTTCAGGCAGAAAGAAGGAAAGCCCACCTCAAGTAATACATCATCTCCAGCAAGCCAACACCTCCTAATCCTTCCTAAGTAGTTCCACCAACTGAGACCAAGCACTCAAACATATGAGCCTCATTCAAGCCATCAGGCTTTTGTTTGAGGGTTTTTTTTTTTTTTTTTTTTTTTTTTTGGTTTTTTGAGACAAGGTTTCTCTGTAGCTTTGGAGCCTGTCCTGGAACTAGCTCTTATAGACCAAGTTGGCCTCAAACTCACAGAGATCCTCCTGCCTGTGACAGCTGGGATTAAAGGCGTGCACCACCACCGCCCAGCAAACCATCAGTTTCTTAACTTGTTATTATTAATTATTGATAAAAATGTCATACCCATGCCATCCAGACAGCTCAGTGAGTAAAGAAGCTTGCCACCAATCCTGACAACCTAAGTTTGATCCCTACCCACCCATGGAAGAAAAAAACAAACTCCTTTAAGCTGTTCTCTGACTTCCAGAAGTATGCTATGGGGCACATGCACCAAAATAAATAAATAAATAAATAAAAATTTTAAGAAATTCCAATGCAAAAACAGAAATCTTCTCCTTGAGGAGTGCATAAACAAGACAAGGATAACATGGGTTCCAGTTCCCTTCCTGTTGTGTTTTAGAACTCACGCTGGGTGGTGGTGGCAGCGCACGCCTTTAATCCCAGCACTTGGGAGGCAGAGGCAGGTGGATCTCTGTGAGTTCAAGGCCAGCCTGGTCTAGTTCCAGGACAGGCTCCAAAGCCACAGAGAAACCCTGTCTCAAAAAAACAAACAAAAAAAAAAAAAAAAAAAAGGAGAACTCACTAAGCAGAATATGTCTGTTTTGCACACCTTTCTATATTTGAAAAGAAAAAACAACTTCCTTAAAAAAAAAAAAGCTTTAGAGTCAATGCTTTATATGAAAATGTTTAGTACTGAGATCCAAATTCAGACCTGTTTCCTCTTCAACGTCTTTCTAGGTTGGCTATAAAAACATGACTCCCTTACCCAAGCTTCAGGTCACTACAGTTCCCTACCTCCGCCTGTGCACTCAGGCCCAATTATCCTCTTCTGTGAACTCCAAACGAATAAGAACGAGGAAGAGGAGAAAGAGCAAGAGGGAGGGGAAAAAGCCGAGGAGGACCATCCAGACCTCATTTCTGGGAAATCTCTCCCCACAGACAAGATCACAACCCTCTTCCACCAGACCAACTCTACACATTGCTCTCGATACCTTTTCCACTGCTCTCATCTCAACGCCATCTCTGTCTCTGCGCTGAATAAATTTCTGAGATCTTCCTACTAAGTAAAACCTTCCAAGGGACACACCTGGCATGTGTATTCTCGGACCAACAGAGGTCATATAGAAGTCTCAGGTTCACCCCCTAATGTCATCACAGCTCTTTCTCACCTGGGACTTTATTCACTCATTCCTCATCTGCTCATCTCAAGACTGATCAATATCTGGTATTTTGTCTCTCCAAAGCCCTCTTGGCAGAATGTCTGTAAGACCTCCCTACAACACTCTGTCTACTCACTCACAATCCCTGCATAACTGCCTTATTTTCCTTATTTACCAGCTGAATGCATAAACTGGGACTTTTCAATTAGTACTTCTAAAATTCCAAAGGCCTCCTACCTTCTCCTGCCTTCCACTCCCATAGTTAACCCCTTCTGCTTCATTCATTCACTTATTTTTTGAGGTGGGGTGTCGTGTAGCCAAGGATGACCTTGAACTCCTAACTTTCTGCCTCCTGGTCCCAAGTGCTGGGATTACAGAGATTGCACCCAGACTTCTCCAACTCTTCAGGATCAGTTCATTCCCGTTATTAGGAATCAACCAGACCTCATCACTGTTTAGAAGTCAACTTCCCTGACCCAGTGTAGGGTTTTCTCACAAACTGACTGTAAGCTCAGGGCACAGGCAGAATCTTAGGTCTTTTTGTATGAGCAGGCCAAGCATTATAGGCACCTATCAGTCATCTAGCAAATGAATGCTCAGACATGACCAGCGCATTACATAAATGCTGACATTCTGTGTCAAAGTACTTTTTTCTCTAGTAAAGTAAGGACAATGCCACACCTAACTCATAAGGATTAAATGGGGTAGCAAGCTCTTAGTATAGCACAGTGTCTAACACAGAGAACTACCATTTGAATGCCTGCTATCTCATGTCTTAGTTTTACTAACATATCCTTGGATGTGTAATGTGAGCAAAGTCTGGCAGAATGGCTTGGCAACTCTCCTGTCTTCCTCATGCATCCACAAGCCACTTGTTACCTTCTGATGAGCAGTAGCTATATGCTATGGAGCTATCCCATGCAAAAGGCCTTACTAGGAATCTCACTAAACAAACTAGAAGTAAATTATGACAAAAATTTACACCAACATCCAGAAGAGAAAAGAATGAACACGCAATACGAGCATCCACACAAACTATGCAGGTTTTGCTTACAGTAATAAAAGGCAGCTTCAAGAAAAATCACCGGTGGGACTGGGTGTGGTGGCCCATGCCTGAAATCCCAGCAATTGGGGAGCCTGAGGCAGGATTATTTTTGTATGCTTGACCAGCCTGCCCTGCAATGAGGCCCTGTCTCAAAAAGAAAACAAACAAATAACAAAAAAGGCCAGAGAGATTACTGGTGAACACAAACACAGAAATTACTGGTGGAAAAAGATCAAAACTGTCTTATTTAAAAAAAAGAGAGAGAAACTGATGGCTGTTACAGTTGCTAGGTTTCACTTTTGTTTGGAAGTAGTTCTCAGAAAGGAAACTTCAATGTGATCAGGACTGAGAAATAGATACAGTCTCACTCAAACGGGAATCCCATAAGATATTCCCCCAGGTTTTTCCCAATTCATACTTAACTCTGTAGCTCTGAGAAATGCCACAGCTTCATCTGCTTCTCTACTAAATCAAACCCTGCTATTTACTAGCCTCTTAGCAAAAATTACAGGAATATACAAATCATATTACCTACTATTAGAATAGAGAAGAGGGCACGGGCTTAAAACTATTACCCCCATCAAATCAAGAGGTCGAGTCCCCGTGAAGTTTGTGCTATTACACTTCACTGGTTTCAGTAGGAGCAGAGAGACCTCTAGCGCTACCTCAATAAGTGGAGTTTGCAAATAGTAGCAGCTAATGTCACCTTAATGAGACAATGGCAACATGCTGAGTAGCAGCTAACTGAGTGACCACAATGAATGTTTACAGTTTTGCAACCACTTGGAAAATCTACCAGCCTGGTGGCATGTGGTATACACAAGGACGTAGGAATCGATGTATCCAATTCATTTCGGCAAAACGGGTCAAAGAAATTATTTCCCTACGAGTCACGCTCCCACTCCAAGAGCTTTAAAAAAATGAAAAAAAAAAAAAAAGAACCCCAGATCAGAGAGGTCTGCATAACCTCCTTCTCAAAGCTTCAACACAATGGATGGTAAACTATTGTCCACCTTTAGCTTGCTCCAAATGCCAGCAGTCACAGGGGTATGAGCTGCAACAGCTCGGGAAGACTGGTCCAAAGGACAGCACTGGAATATAAGAAAATGGTCTTGGTGCATCCTACCCTCCCCCATCCACCACCCTCAAACAAGTCAGTTACCCGGCTGGTCCCCACCCCCCTCTGAGGGCTGCCACCGCCCGCCTGGGCCCGGCTCGCACAAGGTAGGCGCTGGGACGGAGGCTCCATGTGCGGCAGCGCGGGAGGCTGCACCGGCTGCGGACGCGAGCGGCGGCAGGGCCCCGGCGGTGCGGTCTGCACGCGGGGCGGCAGCATCCCGGTCCGTCCTCCCGCGCGGCCCGCGGACCCCGCCTCGGCTCCACATCCCTTCCCCTCCGACAGCAGGCCGCGCCCGCGCGGCGGCGCCGAGCGCCCAGCGGTCCCCGGTGTCCGCGCTGGCCGCTCAAAAGGCGGCTGCAGCCCGGGCCGCGGCGCCCCGAGGCGGCGGCCAACTCCGACTGACCGCCAGCCGGCGAGAGCCAGCGGCCACGGGCCCCTGCCCCTCCCCTCCCGGCCGCCCGGCCCGGCCAGAAGCGGAGCACACTCGCCTCCACATCGCGGCCCTTGTTCTTGAAGCTCTTGATGCGGTGGTTCTCCAAGCCGGGGTTCTCGGCCATGGCTGCGCGCGGCTCCGGCGGCGGCTGCTCCTGCGGCGGCGGCGGTGGCGAGTCGAGCGGGAGGGGACGGAGGGGGAGGAGCGCGCGCTCCGTGACGCCCGGAGCGCGAGGTAGCCGCGGCGCGGGGGCGGTGCTGAGGAGCGGCGCGCGCCGGGAGAGGCCGGGGCGCTGGCCTGCTGGCTGTCGCGGTGACCCTGCCCTCACCCCACCATAGGGCCTCCCCACCGCCGCTAGTCATGTGCTAGAAATGGAGCCCGACCTAGTAGCTTTTACCGCCACCCCTGACGTGGGGCGGCGGGCGGGAACTACAGTTCCCAGCATGCCCGGCGCTGGTCTGAGCCACGCCGGGAGAGGACGAGGAGCATGCCGGGAAGGCTGTGCGCGCGCTTTCGGCGCGGCGCTTTCCGAGCGCGGGCTCGAAGCCCCACCTCTGGGCGGAGTGGTGGGCGGGGCTTCCCCGGCGATGGCACCTTGCGGCCTATCGGGAGCGAGAGGTGGGGCTCCCGGGGGCGCACCTTGCTCCCTACCGCTTGGAAAATTAGAAAAAGAACGGCCACGCGTGCTCTGCGCTTTTGGCTTCTTTGGGGTCTCCTCAAATAGCAGCCACCCCCAAACCCTTTTCTCTTGCTCTGCCTTGGTTTTATAAATAGCATGCCTGTTTCCACTCCCCAGATACATGACAGTGTGATGTGTGTGTTTATGCTTGCTAGCACCGCACCGCACCGTTAAGAAGCTCAACAAAGCAACAGACTTTGTTGGTCTCAAGAATCTGTCAGATCAAAGCAGGGCGGTGGTGGCTCCGCCTTTAATCCTAGCACTCCGGAGGCAGAAACAGGCGGAGCTCTGTGAGTTCGAGGCCAGCCTGGTCTACAAGAGCTAGTTTCAGAACAGGATCCAAAGCCACAGAGAAACCCTGTCTCGAAAAACCAAAAAAGAAAAAAAGAATCTGTCAGACCAACACAGTACTTAGTAAGTTCTCTCAAGAAGAAGAAAAAACCAGAGTTCTAGCATGCCCTGATTTCTCCCAAACATCCTTGTGCAACCTTCACTTTGGCAGCCCTACCTTCCTGTGTCTCCACGCCTCACAGTCCACCTTAACACATAATCTAGCCTTCCGGTTATAATCAGGCCCTGCGGCAGCAGACTCCGGCTTGCCTTCTCCCTTTAGCGTCATGGAAGAAATAACAGAGAGAAATTTGGAACAATAACAGCTTTTCTTTTCAGCAGGTGGACTTTGTTTATGTATTAGAATATTACATTTCAGAATCTTCTGCAGATGTCAGCCCGTATGCAGTGTTATACTCCGTATGATCAAAATGAGCCGGGTCAGTTTGGTAGAAATATACCATAAAGAATTCAGTTAAGATAATCTTCAAGCCGGGCCATGGTGGCGCACGCCTTTAATCCCAGCACTCGGGAGGCAGAGGCAGGCGGATCTCTGTGAGTTCGAGACTATCCTGGCCTACAAGAGCTAGTTCCAGGACAGGCTCCAAAACCACAGAGAAACCCTGTCTCGAAAAACAAAAACAAAAAAAAAAACAAACAAAAAAAAAACAAAAAACAAAAAAGATAATCTTCAAAAGAAAAGAGACCTGAAAGAACCTGAGGGCCAAGAGTTAGGAAGTGAAAGGCCTCAGTGGGCAAGCTGTCACCCGCATTTGTTTTGTGAGTGGCCAGTTGGTAACTACAAGCCCATGTAAAGATTTTACACCGTCTTTGCCCTATTGGAGTGTGATCTACTGATGCCAGAAGTGCTTTCTCAGGGAAAACAAAAAACTGTTCTCTTTTTTCTCTATTTTATTTTTTTAAACTATTTTAACTGTACTCTCCTCTTTTTATTTCTTTCTTTTTTAAAAATAAATTAATTGAAATTTTTCACTGGTCTTCTTTGATCCTGGTCAGATCACTCATTTGAAGGAGACAAACAACAAAACAAAATAAAGAAAGGTGGGAAAAACACTTACCTGTGATTAGCATTACGATAACAGCTTGGTCGTCAGTAGTGGAACTTTTTTGTTTGCCACTCTTGATCGACTGGAAGGAAAACACGCACCATAGCGCAGTTTCCTTTATCATTTGCCAGGAATTCCCTTGTGAGGGCTTTATCTCCTCTGCCACCTCTCTGTGCCTAGGACACATTTAGTGAGTGCTTCCCAAGTGTCAGACAGTGCACTAAGGCTAGAATGCCCAGGTAATAGAGCCACGTGTTTACAGCCTCCAACCAACTTCTTCTTTGCCAGAAAAGAAAGATGATAAAACAGCAATGAGCCCAGTGGTGTGGTAGTCATTGGGAAAGCAGCCCAAGGCCCCTGATGTTTGCCGGTCTCGAAGCAAGATAGCAAGTGAACGCCATGTTTATGTGCTTAAAAGCTATGAAACAATCTAACAGACTTAAATAAAAATGTGATTTCAGAAACTGACAAATAAACCCCTTATAATGACCTAAAAGTCTGGGCTTCAATTTACGTTTCCTGACTTACGATTCTGTTTCAGAATGCCGCTGGAGGCCGGGCAGTGGTGGCGCACGCCTTTAATCCCAGCACTCGGGAGGCAGAGGCAGGCGGATCTCTGTGAGTTTGAGACCAGCCTGGTCTACAAGAGCTAGTTCCAGGACAGTCTCCAAAGCTACAGAGAAACCCTGTCTCAAAAAACCAAAAAATAAAAAAATAAAAAAGAATGCCACTGGAGTAGACCTGGATGCTGACCAAGTCAGCAGCCCAAGAACAGTGTTTCCTGTGGGCATTTTAGCTTGTCAACTAGCCTGGACTTAGTGTCACCCAGGAAGCTGGTGAGGCACACCTCTGAGTGTGTCTATGCGGGCTTACCCAGAGAGACTCAGAACTGAGGATGGGATTGACTGTTTGAGCACAGAACCCTAGTGCCCTGGTGAACCAAAGATTATGCTAGCGCCATAGAATTCCTTTGCCCAGGGGGAGGGCTGCCACCAAATGTCACAGAAAAGCAAATTCCAAAGCAGGATCCCTTCTGGCTGAGGTTTAACTTGCTCGTTTTCACTTTTTGGCATTGCCCTGGTGACTTCAGCAGCCACACATTATGTCCCCTGGTTCCAGTGTCTCTCAGCATCCTTAACTTCATCAGATTTTTGCCTCATCTAGCCCCCAGCGGGTCTGGAGTCCTTCAACTCGGGAAAATAACCACCTCCAAGGCCTCAGATGTGGGGCTTCTCGCTGTTAATGACCCTTTTGCTCCCCTACCTCTCACTGACCCAACACTGCTCCTGACGACGTTTTTTTACATTGTATTTGTTTTTTTTAGCTTGTTTTGAGTATGAAAATCAAAACAGGATGCTTGACTAGCCTCACTATGCACACACTCCTCTCCTCTGTACTACGTGAGGGAATGGGGACCTCCCGGAATGGGGGCGCTACCTAAGGACTGAAGGAACGGCGCCCGCAGTGAGCCTGCATACACTTGCTCTGTTCTTCCACACACTGTCCTGGGCTGTCAGTATCGCCCACATATTGGTCATCTTGGAGTGAACGGACAATGAATGGTTTTCTGGAGAAATTTTGCCAACCTAACAGCTAGCTTTGAGGCTCTCACTTAAAAGTATGCAGGTTAAGTGGCTTTGACATGGATAAAATGTTACTTTTTTTCTCCAGCTGCTCTGCCTCCCCTCACTCTTTGCTCAGATGTGCCTCCCCAGGCAGTGGCATGTTCTCTGCAGTGCACGATGGCAGCTAGTACCCGGCTATGGCAGCTAGTACCCGGCTATGGCTAGCTAAGTTTCAATTAATTAAAATTAAATTAGCTCCTCCAAGATACTAGTTTCATTTCAAGTGTTCACTAGCCTCCATATTATGCCCGCCATATTGGGCAGCAGAGCAGTCTCTATGGACGCCCTAGAAAGAACACAGGTATAGGGACAGAAGGAACCTCATCTTTTCTGTCCCCGCTTCATGTTTTCTTAGACTCTCAACAATGGACACTCTTTCAAAGTTTCAATCAAGCTATGTAATAGAAATGCAAATAATTGTGAAGTGTTTGGCATAACGCCCAACGCATTTTTAACTGCTTAATAAATTATAAATGAATAAAGGTCAGAAATTCAAACTCTTTCAGGAACCCCCTAAACAACATAGGTTATTGCCATTGCTCCTGGTTGCCCCTGGAAATAAATGATTAGACCCTATTGCTGTAGGTACAGCATGCTGTTTATGGGACATAGAAAAATCAAGCTGGGACTGACCTGAACACTTCATCCCCACTGGCTAGCCTTCATGGTGCCAGACGGTGCTACACAGGTAAACGGGAAAGAGAAAACGGCAGTAGTCTTACCCCCCTGGTGACCTCTGCGCTGTACAGCACCAACCTGCCAGACAAGATGTGCTCACTGGAGGAATAGCGGCATGACCGTTATGTTAGGGCTCGCTCACCAACCGCCTTTGATTGAATATGAGGTCTGCTCCACGGGAAAGAATTCTTGCCTGGTACTATAAGTCTAGTCAAAAGCCCTAGAGGGGAACCTACTGCTGTTGTCTTTCTAAATAGACCTGTTGTCAAACTGCCTTCCAGATGTTGGTGTGTGTACATATAGATTAGTGGCTGCTCCCAGCCTTGGCCAGAGAAGCTCCTCTCCCAGTGAGCAGCAGGTAAGCGAAGCAAAGACTCATAACTAGTCAAAGTGCTAAGAAAAAGTGACGGCTGAGCGCTCATCACTAACTGGGACGTTGACAACAAAGGGACAGAATATGTGACAGAAGTTGTGTAAATTCTGGCCATAACACGGCCGTTACACCCTTGAGCTCACTGCCGCGAGGGTCCTCTGCACAAGCAAGCCGGCATCAAAGGGAAGCACGGTTGGATTAAATGGGGCTTTCTAAGACAGAGAGAGAAGAAAGAAGAGAGGGAGAGAGAGAATACATGAAGTAGGGTGAGGGACATGTTGTGGGGTGACTACAGGGACTACTAGGGAAGAGTTGGAGGTTGTTGTGATAAAGATTCATTGTTTATGTTTCAAATTGTTAAAGAACAAATAAAAAGTAGTCTATTTAAAACTTTTGAGATCGGGCAGTGGTGGCATTCGCCTTTAATCCCAGCACTCAGGGGGTAGAGGGAGGTAGATCTCTGTGAGTTCAAGGCCAGCTGGGTCTACAGAGCTAGTTCCAGGGCAAGTTCCAAAGCTACACAGAGAAACCCTGTCTTGGAAAAACTACAAAAACAAGCAAAAACAAAACAACAAACCAGTAAAACTTTTGCAATTCAACTTAGACCTGAACTTTACCTTTAGATCCTCAGTGCTCAGCAAACTCTGCTGGACACCC